ATGTAACATCCCAAATCATCTCAATGGAACAAACCGGATTCATGAGAGGTCGTCACTCCTTCACAAATATACGCAAACTCCTAAATGTTATACATTCTCCGGCATCCAGGGAGACAGCCGAGGTTGTTGTCTCCCTGGATGCTGAAAAGGCATTTGACAGAGTTGAGTGGGGCTATTTATTTGCTGTCCTGGAGAAATTTGGTTTTGGTTCAGATTTCATTTCTTGGATCCGCTTATTATATACTGCTCCTAAAGCATCAGTAATAACAAATAAGTTATCTTCACATCTATTCCCCCTGTCAAGAGGCACACGCCAGGGATGCCCCCTCAGCCCCTTACTATTCGCACTAGCTATTGAGCCGCTATCAATTAAATTCAGAACAGCCCCAGACATTCTTGGAATCCATAGGATGGACACGGAGCACCGAGTATCTTTGTATGCAGACGATCTGCTCCTTTATATCTCAGACCCAGTGTCATGTGTTCCAAATATTGTTAATATATTAACGGACTTTGGGCTTTTCTCAGATTACAAATTGAACCTCTCCAAAAGTGAATGCTTTCCAGTCAACAATCTCGCCCTTCAGATATTAGATGATGAACTCCCTTTCCTTATGTCAAGGACTGGCTTTAAATACTTAGGGATACAAATCACCCGTGTCTTCTCTGATCTCTATGAAAAGAATTTCAAACCCCTCTTAATCAAATTGGAGGCGGATTTAAAGAGATGGTCTGTCCTTTACTTATCTCTTGTAGGTAGAGTTAATTGTATAAAGATGAATGTCTTACCCAGGTTTTTGTATCTATTTCAGTGTTTCCCTGTGTTTTTGTCTAAATCTTTCTTCCAGTCTTTGGATAAATTAATCTCTTCATTTTTATGGGCTGGTAAAAATCCTAGAATCCGCAGAGAACTTTTAGAAAGACCTAGAGACCAAGGCGGACTAGCATTTCCCAATATGAAAAAATATTACTGGGCGTCCAATATTCAAAAAATTATATACTGGTATCAGGCCCCAGAGTTGAATTGGTGCAGACTTGAGGCAAACTCTTGCACTTCTGCCTCACTCTCTGTTTTAATTACAGTGGAGTTACCATTCTCACCATCCAAGTTCACATCAAGCCCAGTAGTGATTTCCACTCTTAAAATATGGGCACAATTCAGACAAAAGTTCAAGCTTAAAGATTTCTCTGTATATAGCCCAATTTGCAACAACCACCTTTTCCCTGCAGCCAGAATTGACCATACTTTTACATTGTGGCGTAGAAATGGTCTAGCTATATGCTATAACTTTTACATAGATGGTCTTTTTGGCACTTTTGCTGATCTTTCTGAAAAATTTCAACTACAGATTTAGATACTTTCAGGTTCGTCACTTTATTCAAAACCAGAGTCCAACATTCCCTGCTTTACCAGCAGATTCAGGGCTGGAGAAGGTTTTGTGGGCACAAGTCCAGCACAAGGGACAGATCTCAATAATCTCAAACATAATTACTTCCCTCCATGAAACATCACTAGAACGGCTTAAAACGGAATGGGCTGAGGAACTTGGGATGGAAATAGATGAAGCAGTCTGGGACTGCGCTCAGGCTAGAGTTAATGGTACATCATCCTGCGCCCGTCTCAGCCTGATACAGTTCAAGGTTTTCCATAGAATCTACTACACCAAGTCTAAACTATCCAAAATTTATTCTGACATTCAGGATAGGTGTGAGCGCTGTAACTCCTCTCCAGCACATATGGCCCACATGTTTTGGACCTGTCCTAAATTAAGAGATTTCTGGTCATCTGTTTGCAAAACTTTGAACGACGCATTTAACACCAAAGTGAAACCCTCCGCAGACATGGCCATCTTTGGAGTATTTACTAATGAGATCTTGTTGGCCACTGATAAGAAGAATGCTTTTGCCTTCGCCTCTTTGCTAGCCCGTAGAAGAATAGTTTTACAGTGGAAATCCCCTGATCCCCCTAAAGTGTCTGTCTGGCTCAGCGACCTAATGTTTTTCCTGAAATTAGAGAAAATTAAGTACTTCACCAGAGGATCAGGATTCCTGATTTCTTGCAATCAGCATAGTATTTAAGCCTCTCCCAAACATTCCTCTGTGCCACACGATTAATTCGTATGCCTGCTGTTCCTTGCTACATTCACGAGAACCTGCCCCATCTCCCGCTCCGTATTTCCAGCGTTATTTTTTGTATGCTAGTGAGTATTTTTTCCTCCTGGACAACTTTAGTTTATTCTAGAGTTTTTGCCCCTCGTGGTATTTTGTGTTATTGTTTCTTTGTTGTTTTTTTTCCCTCAGCAGCCGCTTGAGTGGTTTTTAGTTAGTTTTTCCCTGGTGGTGATTTTCAGTTTTTGTAATAAACTCTGTTCTTCTTCTGCATCTGCAATTGGGTTCTGGCTCTCCTTCTTTTCACACGTAACAGAGCTGCCCTTTATTATAGCCTGCCTTGTTGAAATTCAGAATTCAGAAGGATATCCAAATATGTCTCTCACTTCAATGACTCCAAATCAGAAATAGTACCCTTTATAGCCCATGAACGGCACTACTAAAATCTTCATCTAGTCTGGCTGAATAATCAAATAATGTTAAAACTAGAAACATCTCCTTGTGATTATTTTCTCCACCAACCAGCCAAGTAAGTATGGTCAAAATCTCTTCTTCCTGAGTTACAGTGTCGAATAATGACCAGAAGTGTTTTTGCAAAACATTATGATGTCATAGTGAAGCTGACCTTTGACCTTTTGGATAAAAAATGTTATCACCTAATTTTGTCATAGACATTTGAGTTAAATTATGTTATGATGAATGAATGAATGTTGTGCCCAGAAACATGTTTTGTGAGGTCACACTGTGACGGATGTGATGAAATTAACCTCTAGGCGTTCCTGATGAAATTGAGGTCACTGTGACCTTGAACTTTGACCTTTAACCACCAAAATCTAATCATCATCATCATCCCTGAGTCCTAATGAATGTTCCATCAAGGAGTTACAGAGATATTGCCTTCACGGGTGTGTGGTGCTGAGGCAAAAAATGAGGTCTGGAACCTCTATGAAATATTTGACTCAGAGTCACTGTAAGTTTTAGAATTAATTATCAAAGTCTTACATGGTGAGGCTCTGCATGTTACTGTGATATATTAGAACAAGCCTTGAGATCTTGTAGCATGGCCATACCTATGGTTCCTAAGTCTCCACTTGTCACTAAAGGTGAACAGCCCTTTGCTGTTTGGCCCTTTGCTGTTCGGGCCCCTCGGTTGTAGAATTTGCTGCCTGAAGATCTAAGGCAGTCAGACTCAGTATCCTATTTTAAATCCCTTCTTAAAACTTTTAACTTAGAGTTTTTCTTAACTGATGGTATTGTTGTAATTATTTTTAAGTATTTTATCTTGTTTTATCTTTCATATTTAGGATTGTATTTTCTTTTTCTGTTTTTACTGTAAAATTTAACTTTGTTTGGTATAGATCAACTTATTATTCTTTGTTTTACCTCTATTTGGGGGATAATCATGCTCTAAATTGTAGAACCACAGTTCCCACAATACTTTGGGTGATTTAGGCAGTAGAGTGTTGCCATGGATTCAGTGAGTTGCACTGGTGGCTACAACCAGAGAGCTGTATATTCTGTTTGTTTGTTAGTATTGTGGTATATTGTCCCTATTAAAAGTAGCTGAATCAGTTGTGATCGGCTCCTGTTTGCATACAGACAACTGTCACTGGATTACTGTGAGGGAGGAGGGAATCTTAAAACCTGATCAGCCAAGTTCTGACAGTATAAGAAGCAGAGGTCTGGATGTTTATTCCTAATTTTTATTCCTCTGAAGTGTTAGTCACTCTGAATCTATCAGTGTGTGTATCATCACTGTGTGCTTAAATGTGACGGAGTTACTTAATTATCTCCATCAGCTATGTGTCTTCTAACTGAACCACATGTTGCATCCTGAACTTCTACATAAGCAGCACCACAGCAGATACTTGAGTTAAACTGGCTCTAAATGATCCCTGATCCCTAAGCCAAAGAAACACACTTATCTTGTTTCAATGTGAAAACAAGCGACTAACATCTGTGTCACACGCCGTAAAACGCCTCTCTGTAGAAGTGACTCATTCAACATTTAACAACAATGTAGTTGCAGATTATCAGTTGTAACGTCGCCCGCCCGAGCGTCAAGACGCGCTAATAACAAAAGCCACTTTCCCCTTGGCAGTTTCAAATCAAAGCTGCCGTCCCGAGCATGCTTTCCGGTCGCGTTTTGGCGCAATTTCTTTTCACTTACTGTGAAAGGGAGTCATTGGACTCCGACTTTGCATGATGCATAATGCAGCCACTGTGCCAATAGTAGAAACGGTCACGCAGGTGCGCTACGCTTCTCTCGAGCCACCATTTTCTCATTTGTGTAATTTCAGTTTTATTATTTTCACTCACTATAAGATCATAAACTATACAACCTGGAATAGCTCTTATCGGCTTTCAACCATGTTGTACAGCGTTTTTTTTCATATCTATGAAAATATTGTAGCTAATTTATTTTTGTTTACACTCTATTTATGTATGTTTTATTTAGTTTTTTAGAGAGTTAGATGACACTGTAATAACATACGGGATTCCAGTGAAGCTAGTTGGTAATTTAGAACTACAAATGATTCTTGAGTTTTATTGAAATAGTTAACCACAGGTGGATTCCAGTCAACTTCTAAACTAATTTCGAGGATCATTAGTATAAAGATGATGCACCTCACCACAATTTGGAGCCACAGTCAAGGGTCTGAATACTTGGATGGATTACTGATTGTAGACTGATCGGCAAAAACGGAAATTTTATCTTTTTATAATATAATATTACCACTAATGATTTAATGTGTTACTGAAATACACGATTCTCAACATCTGGAAAAAGACTGATTTGTTGGTTCAGATTTAAAGTTAAAATATGTTTGTAAGCTCTGAAATTTCTGGAAATGAAAACTAGGCAAAAAAGGGAGAATTTCACATAAGAGTAAGATTTTTTTCACTTTAATGTTTCTAAAAGGTGGACAAACTGTACATGCATAGAGTGTAGTTTATGGACACACACATAAATAGAAACTTTAACACAAAAGGTGCTTTTATTGAAATAGTCATAATAAATATCAGAAAAGAGTCGTCAGTCCAATATTTCCTGTCGCAGATCCATTCAGGGTGAATACCATTCGCCACACTACATGTTCACGTAACAGATTCACCCGGTGAAGAAACTGTGCGTCAGCCAAGGGAGGAATCTCAATAGTCCACATCACAAGTCCTCAGTTTGTACACAAACTAATCCAGTGTAAAATGGAGCTGTTATGCTGCAGGTGAGGCATGGAGAGCACAGCAGCCAAAGCACAGAGAGTTAAACATTGTGAAATAGTGGTTACTGTTTGAGACATGAAATGTTTCCAGTTATTCCACAGGCTTTATCAAACTCAAACCTACCAGTGCTGCTCTCAGCCTACCATTTCTAATATTAAATTAATAAATACATGAAATCAAGACATGCAAAGAAAACCATGACACACCATGTCATTCACAGACTCAATGCAGGAAACAGCTAAAATCCTACAAAGACCTGGGGTTATAAAAAAGAACACCTAAAACTCATTGTTCAACTAGAAATCAGTAGAACCACAATAAATACACATCAGACAGAAGGTCAACATGCACTGAGGACAATATTTACACTGTTTCTCAGAAAGGGTTCAGTTAGACAACGCTATGTGGCAACAGTGGTAAAATCTCTCATGCAGCAGCAGATTAAGAAAAAAACTGTTATTAGAGTTCCTACCTGTCTGTTAGATGCTGCTGATGTAGACAAAATCTACAGTTTGTGTGTTTGGAGGAGGTGGGGACTGAGGTCTTTAATATAAGAAAAAAAGAGTAAGACCCCATTCCCTCCAGAGTTCATGCTGCATTCATGTACTATGGGAATTAGCAGTATTATTAATATTATTATTAAAAATACTTTTTACTGTCAACAAATCCCAGATAAAGACCCAAACCAACAATGAACTGAGCCTATAAACAAGTAAATCAACAGTACATGCTTACTTTGAATAAGTGAATCACCTGTGTGTTAAAACCTTGCTGAAAATAGTCCCCTACAAAATCTCCTGTATTTCCAATTTTTAGGATTGAACCTCCTCTTTTAAAAACATTACAGATGACATGTACACAGTCCTGGCCAATGTGAGTTTGAACTTCCTCTGCTTATCCTCGTAAAAGCACCAGAAACACTCCATTGTGCTTTAACTAATGTTGTTTTGCTTTAAAACAGAGTGAAGTGAGAAGATCAATATCAACCTCCTGTCTGTGAGTTAAGGACAAAGTCAGGTGAACTGAAGGAGCAGATTCTGTCCAAAGAGAGAAATAACTTGAACACTGCTCTTTTTGTATTTACATAAACAAAACTGTAAATATAACAGTTTGTGGTTCAGCGGAAGTTACTGGACTCAGCTCTGGACTCACAGACATCAGTGAGTGAGTGTACTTCCCTAAATGTTTAACTCTTCCAGTAAAACAATGCCATGATGAGAATCTGTCTTTTTAAGTGCCACATACAGTGTTTCATATTAACTTAGTTAAGAGAAAATCTCTCTGGATTCATGAGTTGATGGTTTGTTTTTATAAGCTGAAAGTGTTACACCTCCACCATTTGACATGAGTGATGCATTTTATCTATGGAGGGATTCACTCAGTATGTCCATAAAGAGCCCAGACACTGTGAATCTCTCCTCCAGGCTTTCCTGATTAAAAGACACAAAACTTCACACACACACACACACACACACACACACACACACACACACACACACACACACACACACACACACACACACAGAGAGTAGATAACTTTGAAAATTTACAGCTGGAAGATATAAAAATAATTGGTGGGCATACACACACACACTTGAGATATCACACACACTTGAGATATCACACACACACTTAGACAGCAGGTTTAAACCAGCCAGGTCGATGCCTGTGCTTTGGTAGGAATGTCCGTGCAGCCACAGGTTAACGTCCTGACTCAGGTCAGTGTTTGTGTTCATACACAGGCTGGGAGTTGAGTGTCCAACACCAGTGAATTAAAGAGACATGGATAGTTGGTGTGTCCGCAGCCCTGCACTGTGTGGTAGTCAGTGAGTTTCAGGACTCCATCACTGTCACAGTCACTTTTATAATCCTCCTTCTGTTACATCAGTGATCGCTCAGTCTCTTCCTGAGGCTGTCTTTTCTTTCCACATCCCAAAGGCATGCTCACTATCATGTGAGGATAGGGATAGTTTATGTACTTGTACCTACTGGAGGAGAGCGAGGCTACACAGACAGCACACAGGGAAAGGTCAGCTACTGTGACCACACTTTTAAAGACACATCATGTAAGTCTGACTTCCTTCCTTCCAGCCACTGTTTCAGTTCATCCCAGTTAATCAACTTTAATTAGTTTGTTGTTATTTGCTATTTAATTACATTAACATCACATGTTAATGCCATTTAGAGCTCGGACTGTTAGAAAGTCTTCGTTTGTGTAAATTAAATATCTCTTTTCTTACTGAATATCTGAATGAAGTTCTATGTGTGTGACACTGTCATAGCGCTCCACTGTTTCCATCAGTGATCAGTGAGACACAGTTACACTGACATGTTCCTTCATCACCGTGAACACACACATTGTAAGTTATTTTGATCCCATACACACACACGCACACGTACACACACACCGTACTGCTGCCAAAAATAATCCAGAAAATGTGAATTCATCTACTGCTCAAAATAGTCCCCAACAAATGCACTGCTCCTTCCTGTTTGATTGACAACAGCTACAGAGACCTTATGTCTAAGGACATTAATGAGCTGTTTTTTGGAAAAGGTGTTTTTAGAGATTTATCATCAGGAACCAATCAGCTATGAACTGATAGCCACAGGCAGAGAAGAGAAATCAGACAGTCGTGTGAGAGAATGAACTGAACTGAAACCAAAGAATACCTGGGATTGAGGAAGTCTAACTGATGGTGTGTTTAGAAAAGTGAACACAGTGATGTAAAGTATCTGGGATTTGCTGTAATGAAGTAAAACATGATAAAGCTGATATGGCTGTAATTTAATTCATAATACAACATCCAAGCTTCTGTAATCCTGAATTTTCACATGAAGCTGTGGAAACGTTTTGCTTTGGTAACAAATACGTATTAATGCCACTCAGCTGTCCCTCACTTCCTTTCTCCCTTGTCTGTCTGATCACAGAGCCGATTGGCTGAAAGACAGCAGAGTAGGTGAAGCTGGTGGTGATGGAGGCTTAACAGCTGTCCCTCTCCTGGGGTTAAAGGTCAATGCCTTTGACCAGCGAGGATTCCAGTGTGATGGGGAAATCGTGCAGCGTCTCCAGGACACCGATGAGGGCGCTAACAGTTGTGCGGTCTCTGAGAAGAGCTGTGTCCTCGTACATCCGCAGGATCACCGGGCACTCCACCAGCAGGGGGAGCCACTGGGGCAGCAGGCGATCTCTGCACAACAAGCAGTGGATGTGAACCATGAGTAGAATTCCTGTCAGTCAATAACTATGTCAGGTAGAGTTAACCTTGAATAATGTAATTCCATTAGTTTAGACTCATCTTCGCTTTCACTGCTCACAACAAGTAACTAACAGATAACAGATGACTAATCAGATAAATGTACATTTGTCAGTTTGAACACAAATTACTGAATAGTATGTACAATAAATTGGACCTGGTTATATACAGAATAGTAAGCAGTTATGTGTAAAGAGATAACATATACAGTTAAATTTTAAAAAATAGTTTATATGACTATCATCTTATCAAATATATTTTCCTTTGGATTTACTGGTGTCTGGTAGTAAGTAATGTGCTACTTCCACCAGAAGGTGGCGGTAATGCACAGACATGTACAAGACAAGTCAGTTGACCTGGCTCCGAGGCAGACCAGCAGCTGGAACTTCCCGTCCTTGCCAATGCTCCTGGGGGTGGAGTTGATGGCGTTGATATAGTGACAGAGTGATTGACAGGTCATCCCCAGGGGCTGTGCAGTCTCCTGAAGATCCCCCATCTGATCAGCTGATTCCATGTAGGCGACAGCCTTCTCTGCAGAGAGGAGAGAACATTTCAGACTCAGAGGTGTCAGAGTGGACATCAGTCTCTCTGACAGTTTGTCTTCCTTTGCACAGTCATAGACTGTGGTTTACCATCCAACAAGCTGTTATAATGGACCAAATGAAACAGTTCATTTTTACAGTAGCAGGTGGCGGTGCAGCTCCACACTCACCCACAAAGTCCCACACGAACACTGTCTTCTGGAAGAGTCGGGCAGACTTGAAACCATGATGGAAGAACTGCTCTAGAGCTGCTACCAAGCTGTTCTCTCCACACAGCAGCACTGTCAGGCTGCCTCTCTGCACCGAGACAACCAGGGACACATCATCACATAAACACACAGAGGAAGTCACAGCAATGAGCTGATTAACACCAATTGACAGAGGAACACTACAATAAAGACAATTTCTATAGATGACTGAATAACAGATGGAAGCAGCACAGAGTCCCAAGTATGAGTCAAAACACTTTCCTAAACTTCTCATAATCCTACAGTAATCCAATAATCCAACCTGCCTGTCTGGAAAACACCTCAGTTCTTTCTTTCTCTCAGTAAAATAATGACATGTGACACCAAACACTATGTTGTTTTGACAAAACAAATTCTGCAGAGAAGATTCAAGCTACTACTGAAAATTATGTTCCAGTTTGAGCTGGTTAACAAAGAAAACCTGAGCAGAGAAAAACTGTAGATGCCAAATCCTGTAGGAATTTAGGTCTTACAGTGTGATTCCATGAAGCCAGTGTAGTCTGGTTCATGGTCTCCTTCAGGACTCCATGAATCTCTCCAGTCTTTATTCTCTCTGTGACAGAGGACTAAAGTGGCCTCAACCACTAACACATCACCTGTTTCCTCTGCTGTGATATCAGAGTCAGACCATGATGAACTAAACCATGATGAACAGTCACAGGATTCAGAGACGATAAGGTCCATCCAGTTTAGTAATGTGAAGGATTCAGAGACAGGACAGCAGTGATTCAGCTAATAAATAAAATTAGTTTCTTCTTCAGGCACTACTGAGAATCAGTCACTGACCTCTTTCTCTGGTTTGTGGAAGTGTTTGACGATGTTGTTCACTGCTGCCCCAATGGCCTCCTGGATTTGGTCCGACGTTGGTTCTGGAATCACAAACAGCTTTTTACTGCTGAGGTGTTATATCATACTGTAACTTCTACTGGTAACATGTTAGATATAGGGCACCAGTTAAATCTAACTGACACATATCAGGTACTTTACATGTTGATTCAAGTATTTTTAGACTCAGTATATTTAAATTCAATTTCTTTAGTCAAACTAAATAAATAAATAACAGATTCAGTAATTCTACACCATAACTTCATCCTTGTATCCAGTCCTGAAAATCAAATAGTTAAATTTAAAAGAAAATTTGAATTGAATTTGAATTTGATTTGAGTTTATTAATGCACAATTTAAATACTAATTTAATTAATTCATTTTATATAGTTTCCTTTTAAATGTACCATTTAATTAAATGATTCTAATTAAACATTTCAAAAGTGTAAAATCATCATCATCATCTTATCAACAGACTATTTTATGATGTGAATATAATGCTAAAACACTTTAGATAAGGTTTTCGTATCTGGTGGGGCCTGTGAGGACTTCACTATCCCTAAGATCCCCTGACTGTCTCCCCCTGATCTGAGCAGCCCCCAGCCCTGAGGTACTCACTGGATCCTCGTCCAGACAATGATGTGATGCTGATGCGTCTGGTCTGGGACGGTGAGCGCTGTGGTGGGGGCGTACGGCAGCCTCTCCCAGAATCTTCCTCTCCACTGGGCACCACCAGCTCACCGATCAGAACCCTCTCTAGGCTGCCGTCATCCACGCCCTTACCGAGCCATCGACCACATGGGAACCTGGAGGGGACAGAGATTAAGTTGTATTCTTCTTTTGGTCAACAAATCAACTCTGAATGTCTTCTGCTGACAGGTTCTGTGTGTGGAGCAGAGCCTGATGTATCTGATTCCTCTGAGCCATAGAGCTTCATTGTTATTATTAAAAATCAGCAGTGAGCCACACTATAACACTTACATGTTCCTTCATCACCATGAACATGCACACTGTAGTTTATTTGACTCAGTCCCACACACATTGTCCTACCACCACACATACTTATTAAAGCACCAAACGTGGATTAATCCACCACTGAAAATATTCCCCAACAAATGCACTGTTTCTATCTAATACAGTAGGGCTGTAACTAACAATTACTTTTCATTATTGATTAATCTGAAGATTAGTTCCTTTATTAATCATTTGGTCCATAAAAAGTCAAAAACAGTGAAAAGTGTCAGTTTTTATTTCCCAGGGTCCACAGTGACACCTTCAAATTACTTGTTTTTGTCAATTGGTTTTCTGTTGATCAACTAATGGATTAGACTATATAGACTGTATAGACTACATACACTTTACACTGTACAGACTGTATAGACTATATAGACTGTATAGACTGTAGATTGTATAGAGTATACACCATAGACTCTAGACGAAATCCAGCCTGAATCTCATAAGCTCAGTTTAAATAGAGAGATTTTAGTCTAGAAAACAGACCAATCAGATCATGTGACTCACTGCCAAAGTAACAAACACCATGAACAGCTTCTGTGTTTCAGACATACAGTAAAGCATGACTCTGCAAACACATGGTTTTTTGTATTTTTCTAAACTTATTTTGGCAGACATGAAGCTGACATGTCAGGTGGTGTGTTCGTCTGATCAAATGTTGGAACATAGTCGATCAATCTATTGAATGGACATCTGTGAGAAATGATTAGAGGTGAGACAGATGATAGATACACTGAATGAGAGAAGGAGCCTCCACTAACCTGTACGTGTGTCCTGTGATCTCATTACGCACCATGACACAGTCCACCAGCCATTTAGCCAGGAGACCAGCGTTATCATGACCCAGCTGCACTGTGGTCAGCTTCCCCAGGTTCTGACACTAAACACACACACACACACACACACACACACACACACACACACACACACACACACACACACACACACACACACACACACACACACACACAGAAAATGTAGTTTATGTAAAGAATTTTCAAATCAAATTCATTCTGCTTAAATCTTACTTTATATACTCACACTACAAACTACTGCTTTACAACACTATTACAAGCACTGTTTTACTGTCCAACTGTCAGGCTATAGATTATTATATAGATTATAACTGACTTTCTTGAAGTTAAAGTTCATAGATTTTTTAGTTAGTTTCATATAATTTTATTATTTACATTTTATTGTCCTGTTTAATTCATGGACACAGAAATGAGATGGTTGAATGTAGTCCCAGCTTGCACTGCACTGCTATTTCAGTTACACTCATAACTTTAAGGTACATTAAACACTTGTCTTTGTTCCACATCTGTTAGTAGTATTAAGTTAATAATTTTAGTCCAGACCATGAAGTATAACACAAAGTAGTATTTAAGGTGGGTGGGTCTGTTGAATGTGGTGTCTGAAAACTCTTCCTAACAATTATGACCAGATTCCAGCTAAACAAGGTGGACAGTGTCTACGGGGCAAAAGGTAATGGTATGATTGGAAAAGAAGGATGTCAAAGAGGGGGAGGGGATGATGTGTGTGCGTGTGTGTGTGTGTGTGTGTGTGTGTGTGTGTGTGTGTGTGTGTGTGTGTGTGTG